AGCCACCAGAAGGGATGTGTCTAGGATGGACACGCACCTACTTTTTGTTAAGTAGCTTTAATGACACGGCCGTAGCGGCTGCTGCTTCGGAGCCTCCCGCAGGGCGCACCTGCCGTAGGCACGGCGACCCTCTGTGACGCGGGCCTGGCCTGCAGAGGCCACGAAGCCCCGGTGACAGAGGCGGGGCCCCTTTCGAGGCTGGCAGCAGCCTGGGGAGGTCCGTCACGACTCTCGAGGTTTCCGGCCGCCCCAGGCTGTCACGGTAATGCTTCGTTTCGGACAGTATACGATTGGTGATTAATGCAAACCTTGCTCTCCGGCAAAATACTATTCAAGTAGTTTTAACTTAAATATTTTAAAAGTAATCTTTACATTATTGAAGACTGGTAAAAAATACAGAATCTGACAGCTTTTCATTTCATTCCATCTGGCGCTCTGAAAGTCTTCACTTTTGCATTACCGTAATCTAGGAAGCAACCCCTGGCCCCGTAAAGCTCCTCGAAGGGTTACTTTCAAGATCCGTCTTCCCCTGTTACTGGTTCAAATGCACGACAGTCTCAGAAACCCTTTGCCGCTGCGTTAGGAGGAGGGACACGGGGGGGACTTAGAACTAAGACCCTTCCTGGTTACTTACTTCCGTTATGAGCTTTACAATGAAGAGGGCGCTGTAACAAGCCGGGCTGATTCCCGTCACGTGAAGGGACGGCAGAGGATTGTCCTTTTCCGCCCTTAATGAAAACATGATGATCCCATGTGAAGCTTGATGAACAGTAGTAAAATGTTTGGCGATCAGAAGTTAATTAGAATCAAATCCTTGACCGGGGATGGTGCTGTCTCCACGGACACAGTCGCTGGAAAAGCTGGTTTCTGCCGTGACTGCTTGACGGAGTCCGGTCTCCGGTCCTGGGGGCCACTCCGGCCCCTCAGTAGATATCTGGGCAGCGGGAGAAATTCCGCTCAAAGTAGCCCCCCGCATACAACCAGTCGGGAGCCCCCGTGTGCGGGTTGCTGCCTTGATGAAACCACCTGGAACACAGAGGACATGGTCAGGAAGCACGTGGACACAACCTGGCTCGTGTTCCCTGCAGGGAGGCATCACCGCATCAGCACGCGGATTTTTTTTTTTTTTTGGGACAGAGAGAGAGCATGAATGGGGGAGGGGCACAGAGAGAGGGAGACACAGAATCGGGAGAGGCCAGGCTCCCCAGTTCCGGAGCCATCAGCCCAGAGCCTGACGCGGGGCCTGAACCCACGGACCACGAGATCGTGACCTGGCTGAAGTCGGGCGCTTAACCGACTGCGCCACCCAGGCGCCCCAGCACGCGGCTTTAGATGCAGCCCAGGGCAGCAGCCGCGGCTGAGAGTTATTAACCACGTTTTCTCTCGAACACTGTCCCTGCGAACAGCCCAGAGAGGGCTTCGCCAGCAGACCCTCAAGGCCTTCACAGAAACACGCTAGGTTAAAGAGCGGGAGAACGGTTCACTATCCCTTCCGAGGGAAGGACGGGCACAGTGCTGGTTCCTTCCCTGGAAGCAGGCCTGGCGTGTCTGGAGAAGGGACGACCCAGGGTAGGGAGGCAATGGGGTGTCGCCGGGCACGCAGGTGGCATCGCGTTCTGAAGCCCCCCCCCGCACCCTCGACCGTCGGCAAGATCCTGAAGGCGCATTTGCGACCCGCTCAGGAGAGGAGTCAATTGAAGACCAGATACCGCTAATTTCTGCAATGTATTTTTTAAATCGATTCCTTAAAGACAATGAAGGAGGGTGGATGCTTTTCAAGCTTTTTCTGGAATGAAGCCAATTCCAAATATTGGAAAGACTGAAAGCGCAAACTTAAATCAGGTCAGAAGCCAAGCACAAAGAAATGGTTTAAAATGTCGTCACAAACAGCCACAGGAGGCGACCGCGGACCAGGCCTGAAAACAATGCTCATGCGCATTGCTTGATCAAAAACATCAGTGAACAGTCAAAGCCACCCCAAGATTTTTTTTTTTTTAATTGTTTATGTTTTTTTTTAATTTATTTTCGAAAGACAGAGAGAGACAGAGCATGAGTGGGGATGTAAGTAGAGAGAGGGGGAGACATAGAGTCAGGAGAAGTTCCAGGCTCTGAGCTGGCAGCACAGAGCCCCATGGGGCTTGAACTCATGAGTGTGAGATCATGACCTGGGTCAAGTCAGATGCTCCAATCGACCGGAGCTACCCAGGTGCCCCATGCACCCAGGACTAACATTTTAACGGACATATGTTTTAATTATGCCTGGGTACACGGTATTTACCACTGAATCTCACCGGTCGAATGGCTAATGTATCTACGACCATCACCACTGACAAAACCAAATCACAAGCTTTCCAGTGAGACAGCAGGGAGGCTCCGGCTCCACAGGGTCTGCTCCCCTGTCTCTATTGTTCTCTGTCTGTCTCTGTGTGTTCGTGACCCTCCTCTTCCGAACACAGTGTGTGTCCCCTCACTCGCGACATGCCTCCCCGGCTGCCGCCTTCATTCTCCTTCCACGCCATCATCGGTGAAGCCGGGCCAGTTTATCCGCCACCCCGCAAGCCACGCGGGCAGGTGACGGGATAAGAGTAACCTGCAGCAGCCAAAGGGCTGGCTGAACACACCATTCCTTCCACAGCACTGCCTTTCCACAAGCTGTGTCGTCCTCCAGCTGCAGTCTGGTTCAGACTACGGTTTGTTTTAACGAACTGTAACCTATTTGAGAGGAATGCTCAGGGTCAGATGCTGTGGGCAGTGACCTGCGCCAGGCCCGGTCGGGAGGGGACCCGTCCCGCACTGGCAGGGTGCTCACCACCTCTGGGACATTCTGCCCGCTTCCAGGTCACGGAACCCGCCAGACTCGGGCTGTTCACGCCATCGGGGACCCCAAAATAGCTTGCTCAGCCACAGGTGCATTATCGCGGGCCCTGCCACGCTCTCAGCCACCGAGGTCTTCACCTGGTCTGCCACTGCCCTCCTGCTTGGCTCGTTTCCTCCTGGCCTCCCAAGGCTAAGCCCAGCCGCCTCCTTTTCTCCTGGCTCGCCAGACTGGGGCCAGCACACGGGCGCGGGTAAGGACTCAGGAGTTGACGGTGAGGCTCCCTGCCACAACCAACGGAGGGGCGCAGGGTAGGAAGGAAATAGTAGACAGATGCGGTAGCTTCCTTCACCCCCAGACCCTAGGTGGTAGCTGGTCAGAACGCCGCTGCCTGCAACCACACCCGGTCACGCAGGGGCTGGCCAGCAGAGCCCCGACCCCAGTGTGGGAAGGCGGGAGAGGCAGGCCTTTCCCCCCCAAGACCGGAGGGCTACAGGGTTCGAAAGGAGCACTACGGGGCAATTGAAATTAATGGGCCATTTGGACCTCAGGGCAGGGTCGGGGCCAGAGGGGCCGCCTCCCACAGAGGATCACAAATTGACCCTCAAGCTTCAAATGGGTCTCCGGAGTTTAGGGTGCAGACACTGGTCCTGGAGAGTGGGGGTCTCTTCCCTGCCCTGTGCAGTCCTCCACTGACACAATCAATCGTGTCCACAAAACCCAGGACCGCTTTGGGACGCGTTTCTCTGGCCAGTGGCCCACCGCACGGGCTGACGGGACGGTGAGTTGGCGCAGGTCGCCTCCCGCCGCCGGAGACATCCACGGTGCGCGCGCCGAAGCGCCTAAGCCTGGGATGGTCCCCACACGATTTTGGACGGAGAACACGCTCCAACCTTGGAAACGCATCCACTTGCTGGTAAGAAGAACCGGGAACCTCGTGGTGAGCCAAGCATCTATTGTCCTTCATTTGGGGTAATCGCATCCTACCCACAAGGGGACTGGTCCGCGCAGGCCAAACCTCTTCCACCTCGAGAGTGCGAGATGCACTGTCCTCGGTCTGTCCACCTGCGCCCCTCGCCTCACCGGGCTCACGAAGCACTCCATAAATGCCGCCGTTTCTCCATGCCATGGGATGTCGGGGCTTAGGCTGCAACTGCGGGGAGCAGTCTTCTTCTTATGCCAGCTTGTAGCTCGTTGAGACTGACATGTGAAGTTGGTAAAATTGTACATCTGGGGAGAGCGCTGAGACCCACCACGCTGGCATACAGCCTGCCAAGCCCGCCAGTTAGGCCACTGGGCGGCTGGGTCCTGGCCACTCCTGCCGGTCCACGCCTGCCCCATTTGCAGCGACGAGTTCCCCACAGCCGCCTCCCCCTCGGCCAGCCTCGGGCTGTCTTGGGAAGGCCCCAGCCTCACTGTCCCTCACATCTGTCGGCCCCTCCAGCCTCCTCTGGGTCCACAGACACCAAACTCACAGGGAGGAACAAGTGTTGTTTGTAAGAGGAATTTCCTGGCAAGAAGTACACACCTTGGCCCTGTTGGGGTCGACTATTTTACACTCTGCTGGGAGCTGCAGGCCATGTGTCAGGATGACGCCCGTAGGGGGGGTTCTGTCTCTCTTTTTACTGTGGTCTGGTAGGTGACAGGAGGACTGCATATTTAATGGCGAATCCAGGTGATATTAAAAAGTTACTACACAAAATTATTATGATGACAGTCACTTATACTTTTGCACCCTATCACACAGGATGTAATAAGTTTATCATGTGCAATATAAATTATGTTTATTTTCAAACATAAGTACCAAAAGGCATTTAAGCATCTAAACCGACAAGTCGGGAAATATCTCTCAAAAGCAGTCTGGAAGCCCTTTCAGTGAGACTCCAGTCGGTGCAGGCTACCTAGAGAGAAGGTACCTGCGGTGCTGGGCACCTGTCTCACCGCTGTCGGGCACGCAAAAGCACACCCACACGACATGCAGGAGCACTGCCTTGCCCCCGGGAGGCCAGGTCAAGTGCTTCTGACTGGGGCTCCGGGAGGGCTGGGAGCCCCGAGGCTCACTCTTATGAAGCAAGATCCTAGGCTGCTGACACGGGGCCGGGGAATCGCTGGAGGTCTGTCCTGGCCAGGGGTCAGTGTGGAGAGGGGTCGGGGCAAGCCTGGGCAGAGTTAAATGAGTGTTGACCCTCCAGAGTAGCTTGCTGCCTGGAATGACCTGCACAGTCTCCTGAACTCCTGGCACGGTGATCCGCCACGCCGGGTCAGCTTTGGGAGCTGTCGCCTGAAACACAGAATAATCGGGTCAGCCGGCCGCCAGGTGGGACAGCTACTCGAGTGACTGTCATCATGCAGGGCAAGATGGGCTCTCTGCAAGGGAGATGCCTTGATGGTGGGCCTCATAGTTTCCCCAGAGGGCAGGAAGTCAGCAGCACGGAGTGCAATCAAGCCTCCCCCCCCCCCCCCCCGAGAGCAAAATACCTAGGGAGCCGCCGCTGGCAGGTGGGGCTGGGGGGCTGGGCCTTCTACAGCGGCGGCCAGGCAGGGTGCGGCCCTCCCCGGCCGGAGCCAGTCCCCACACGCCGCAGCTCGGCCCTCCGCCAGAACCGCTCACGCCGGGCGACCTCATGGACCCTTAGCACCTCTAGACCGAACCCCGCCTGCAGACCACATCTGAAGACGAAACGCAACCACCCTCACATTTCCCAAGCAGCGGGACCCGGAGAAGGAAGCAGTGGCCACCCCCGCAGCTGCTGCGGGAGAACGCGGGGACATGACGACGCGGCCTCGGGACCCTCCCGGCCGACGTCCAACGGGGCTCGGTATTGCTGGCCGCAGGCTACGGGGTTTGGTGCCAGGAGCTACAGAAGGCTGCTCCCGGGCAAGTGCTCACACAAGTCTGTCTCATGTCGAGTCACCCAGAGGACAACGAAGCTAAACTAAGGCACCAAAAGCCACCCCTCCGGGCATTTCACATTCCAAGTCTGTGTGGTCTTCACATGGAACGTTCCTTTTGCTTCTTAAAGTCAAAGAGCACGTTGGAAGGTGTCCAGCAGCACTCAGGCGATGCCACAGGGCCGGACCACTGACACCCTGGGGGAGGCTGGACGCCTTGGGCCCGGCCCACTCTCTCTTCTGACCTCGAACAACCTGACCCTTCCTTTGAGCTACCACTTCTAGTTTTAGCCCTGAGATCATCAGTATTCCAAAGCTCTGGGGGGGAAGTATCCTTGCCAAAACTTCCCAACTGTGGAATATATTACCTGGTGCTCAGAACTGAAAACACAGACATGACAGTCTTGATTTTTTAATAGGTCTAAGCTAACGAGGTGCTGGGAGACAGGAGGTTTACAAAGAAGAACCCGGAGCACGGCGTTCCCAGAAAGAAACGTAGGTGCACTTGGGCTCTGCCAGGCCCGGGGGACATGGCGTACCAAGTGGCCCCCGAGCCCGGCTGACGGCAGCAGCCTCTGCACACAGAGACGCAGGTAAACTGAGGCCCCCCGAGCAGCACACAGACGGACGGGCGGATTCCAGGCCTTCATCCTCTCCAGCTGGGACCCCACAGGCCCAGCAGAGGGAAGGCAGACTCCCCCCACACTCGACTCTGAAGCCCTCCCCGCCTCGGGCCCCCACCCCCCCACCCCGGGGGCAGCACCTTACCGGCTGTGGTTTGCTCAGGTGGTCGCCTCTCCTCTCCTGCTTCTTGAAGGACTCGTACGCAGCAGGGTCTATTCCCCACAAACACTCTGTCCATTTTCCATAGATCATAAAGAGCTTCTTTTTGCTGTAGTCAAAGGGAATTTTTATTTTGCTTAGGTTTTTTTATTTACCTTTAGCAATCTCTACACCCAACGTGGGCTCAAACTCACGACCTGGAGATCAAGAGCCGTGTGCTCTTCTGACTGAGCCAGCCAGGCGTCCCATCAAAGGGAATTTTTAAAACCATGTTTACAGCAATTATAAACCCTTCATCTAAACAGGCAGCACCTCGATTGTGACCGTGACCGTGGAGTACATTCCCATTCTGGTTTGTCTCCTCGTAAATTTTAGAACCTCTCTGGACAGAGGTGCGAAGAGGAAAATCTGCCTTTGAGGGTCCCCCCTTGGGCCTAATTTGCCAAAGCAGAAAGAAGATAAGGGCACAAGCCCCCACGAGTGTGGACAAGAAAAGGTGAGAAAAAGGGAAGGTTTCACTGGAACCCACGTGCTGGTCCGGCCACTGCCCTTGAAATACATGAACCTCCAAGACCGTGTCCTTCCCTTTCCTACAAATCACATCACCAGCCCTCGCGATTTCAGCTGGCATCGTCTGCTTTATCTTCATATCCACAGATCGGATGCCCACATCAGTACCCGTCTGCTTGCTTCATTTCCTAACGACCTCTGGAAACTGTCCAGATCAACCACCAGAGCGCTCTGCCGGACTCCAAAAGGAACAACGCCAACAGCGCTGGGCTGTTTTTTGTTTTTCCTTTTTGTCTTTTTTGTGTCTTCCTGCGGGGAGAGCACGGTGGCCACGCACCCCCTGGAGATGCTGTTCTGCCAGGCGTGTGACATTTCTGGGAGGGCGGGCACCCCTGCCTCGGGCTCAGCCCGGAAAGTGGCCACGCGGGGACTGGTGGGGGACACTCGGCCAGTTCTCACTCAGGACTTAGTCACCTTGGCCGACATATTCTGTCCCCAAGAGGCACGGCGTTAGGCAAGAGCTCACTCCAGTTTGGGATGGAAAATCAAAAAATCAGAACAGGGTTTGCAGACCCTCCGGGACGGTGCGCGTGGCAGTGAGGAGTGGCCCGTTTCTGCAGGCCCGTTTCACGCGGACCACGGTCTCTCTCTGGGTTGTTTCCACCACCAGGGACGGGCTGCTCGGGGCACTGGCCGGTGCCCTTGTCCTGAAGAGGGCTGCTGTTCTGCAAGGTCTCCGAGCTGAGCCCCGGCTCACTTCAGTGGGCACGGCGGTCAGAGTCTAAAGTCTAAAAGCATCTGACAGGCTGTTTGAACAGGTGACTTTCTGGTACTCAGCAGAAGAAGAAACAGCACCCACCGTTTTACACTGGAAACTTGTTTCTAATTAAAACGTAGGTGGGGCACCTGGCTGGCTCAGTGGGTAGAGCACCTGACTCTCGATGTCAGGGTGGTGAGTTCAGGCCCCATGTTCGCATGGAGGCTACTTCAAAAAAAGAAAAAAAGAAGAAGAAGAAGAAAGAAAGAAAGAAAGAAAGAAAATGTCTAGTTTTTAGGAGGTGGAAGGGGTTTCATGACATTATACAAATCCCAATTTCCTGACTGGGGAATAAAAAGTGAGAAATCTGAGGCCAAAAACGTAAGATAAAACAACCCAAAGGTCGGGGCGCCTGGGCGGCTCGGTCGGTCAAGCATCCAACTTCGGCTCAGGTCACGGTCTCGCAGCCCCGAGTCGGGCTCTGTGCTGACAGCTCGCAGCCTGGAGCCTGCTTCGGATTCTGTGTCCCCGCCCGACCCTCCGCCTCTCTTTGCCCCTCCCCTACTCACGCTCTGTCTCTCTCTCAAAAATAAGTAAACATTACAAAAAATGTTTTTTGAAATAACCCAAAGGAGAGAGAACCCCGGAAAATCTACTGGGAACTTCTGACCGTGTCTCTGGTCCAACACTTAAAAAGTCTCTAACTCACAGAGTGCCACGAGCCGGCCCGTGGAACGGAGGCTCCCACCACGGTCTGAGTTGTGTCTGCAACACGAGGCAGACACCGCCACGGAGGAGACGCGTGGTCACGTCTTCCACCTCAGTTCTGTTGGCAAAAGCGCAGCGTTTCCTCCCAGTGAGAGCACCTCATCTCCTCACATCCATTTTAGCAAAAGGAGTCAGACCCAGACCTCTCCCCCTCCGGAGAGGGCGAGACGGACCCCGATCACTCACCGCCCGGAAACGACACTTAAAACTAACCCTTTGTCTCTCTGTATACCCAGCGAGGGAGCGTCTTCTCTAAACCAAACAGAGTCATAATCTTTTCTAGTGTGAACAAACGTCACTGGCACGACTACATCGCCATCAAGGGGCGCACGCGCCGCCCACGGTGAGCCACCCGGACGCAGACCTACTTTTTGTCCTGGATGTGCCCCTCCACTTTGTGAAGTTCTTTTCCAAACAGTCCACATGGTTTAAAATGAAGCACACACTTATCTCCAGTTCTGCGGGAAAAACAAACACAGGCTTCCGTCGTACGACGCGAAATCTCTGGGAAAGGTGGACCGAGACCCCCGGGGTGGCCGGGGCTGGGGCGTCAGGCAGTGACCGCGATGGGCGCGGGGCACCTTTCTGGGGTGACGGAGATGCTCTGACACTGCCTGGGGGCAACGGTACAGTTCAGTAGATACACCGAAACTCACTTAAATGCGTGAATTTTACGGTATGCAAATTGTATCTCAATAAAGCTGCTGCAAAACAAAGCCGCTATGTCACGAACTTCCAGGAGGAAGGTTCGAGGGTGGACGGAGGTCAGTATTTGAGGATGTTTCACGTGGGAAGGAATCCCATCATTCTTTAGTGTCATTTACAATTTCAAAATCAATTCACTCTTGCGACTGAAACCAAAACAAGAGGTAAGCAGGGGCACAAAGATGATGCCACCACCGACCGGCACCGTGGCGGCCACCCCCAGGCCTGGCTCTTCCCACAGGCGCGCCGAACCCCGACAGCCTGAATGGCAGCCCGGAGCAGGCCGGAAGCGTGTCCCCGAGCTCACGGCAAGCGCGTCTAGAGCTCGGCGCGGTGTCCGACTGGCGCACGGCCGGTGCCGTTACCTGTGGTTTACAATCTCCACCGTCCCGTACTGCTCTATCCAGAGCTTCCCGATAATCACGTTGTGCACACAGCAGGTAGGGTTGGTCCAGGTGTAAGCCTCATCGTGTCTGTGAAAGATGCCAGAAAACACGAAGTCAGACGCCAGCAAACAAAAGCACTGCGTGACCCTAAAAAGCAAAATACCAGACAGAATTAAGCCGTAATTGCCTTAAAAGCTGTGCCGGAGCAGAATATCGCTTTGAACTCCCTCGAACAGCGGCTATTTACTTAGCATTTGTTTGAAATTTATTTCTGCTTTCCTTTGTAGCATCAACAAAGCTTTCTACTTAAATGTCAAGACAAGTTAATAAGCAACAGGAGACCACCGAGACAAAGAGAAAAGGCTGTCCCGGGAAGCTGTCCACACAATGGCCTCTTCAGCCGGCGCCTGCGGGAGCCGCACGGCCCGCACCCCGCCCGAGGTCCAGGGAGCAGCTCCGTTCGGAATGCCTTCCCAGACGCCTTTGCTCATATCCCTCATCCTCCCCCAGTGGCCTGACCCAAGGAGAAAAGAACCCCCACGGATGTGATGCAAGTTCATGAGACCCGTGTCTCGAGGGAGGCCGTGTCAAAGAGCCATGATCAAGGGCAGAGACTAGCTCAGAGCAGAAGTATTTCAGGACAAGTATTCGGGGCCCCTCAAATTTCCAGGGGAAACTCAAATGCGTTAATCAATAAGATTTGCCACTTTTCAATTCTGCATGCCCCGCCCCAAGAAAGCACGGACCGCCGCAAGACACACATGCTCCCCAGAAATGGGGTGCCCTCACTGCACCTGGTGACCCCATCAGCCCTGAGGTACACGGGGGTCAGGGGCTGGTATTCTCCGGCAACCAGCCAGGCTGGGCCAACGTGAAACAAAAATCATACCCCGTGCTTCATCACGGCGGGCCACGGTTAGCAAGACGTGCATCTCAGGGAGCCTGCGGCACGCCGTGGCCTAGACCGGGTCTACGCTGGTTTTGCAACGTCCACGCGACTGCTAGAGATTGGGCTTTTGCTTTGCAAGGGGTCCGAACAACACCGCACTGGGGAGCGTTTGGACTGAGATTTCATGGGTGTGCGGGCAGCCTCCACGACGCCCCTCAAAGTCCCCCACCTCCCAGGTTTCATCCGTGTCTCCCTCCCACCCTCAAGCAGCGTGGTCCTCGTGACCAACGAGGGTTTAAGGTCAGGGTGAGGCCACTTCTGCGATGAGGTCCTAAGAGACACCGCGGCTCCATCCCCCCTGGGTCCCCAGCTCTGGTGGATGCCAGCACCCCGCTGTGAGCACCCCCAGGCCTCCCGCCAACGGCCACGGAAGGGGGCCTACAAGCAGATGTCCCACCAGCCGCCTTCGGCCCGCGTCCTGCCCGCCACCTCACGGGACCCTGAGCCAGAGCGCCCGCCACGCCGCCCCCCAGCCCGGCCCTAGCCCTCGGAAACCACGTGGCAGAGGAGAGAGTGGCTGTTGTAAGGTGCTACGTGCGGCTCGTCACCAAGTGGCAGGACCACCACAGGCAGTGACTAAAGCCATCCAGGTCCTCGGGGGCTGTCCCAGACGCCCACATCACACCCAGTCCCGAAGAGGGGTCTGGGGGGCGTTGCCTGTTCGAAAGAGTGTCTGCCGGGGGAAAGACCCTTCCGCTGGAACTTAAGAAAGGCGCCCGCCAGGCCCCCGGCCTCCGCACTCACTTGAGCAGCTCCAGCGTGATGGTGCCCCGGGGCTCGGCCTCCACGCTCTTGCCCCAGAACTTCAGCTTCGGGTAGATGGAGCCGTGAAACAAGAAGTCCTGGTGGAGGCCCTCTGAATAAAATGCACTGATCGGGGGGTGGTGGCTCACCTGCTCGGATATAAATCTGAACCCTAAATCCTCCCTAGGCACAAAAACAAGAGGGAGAGAGCACATCAGTGACAGCGAAATCCGACAAAGGTTGGCTCGGCACACCTCCTGGGGGAGCCCCGCAGCCCCTGGCCACCCTGAGTGACAGAAATATTCAACACTCGCTCTCTGACGCCACCCTTGGCCTGACACTGACCGCACCCCCCGCCACACAGACACTTGCATGTGCACCCACCGCCTCTGGGCAAATCTGAACCCCACATGGAAGGAGGAGAGTGTGAGGGGCCTCCACTCACGCTGCCCCCAGCACGTGCAGGCCTAGAAGAAAACTCCTAGAGCCAGTGATTTAGATGTGGCCACCTCAGCCCTCAAGGGGCACCCAGCGCCCAAGACCCGCGAGAGTGGGGAGCTCGCGGCCTTCCCGAAGGGGGCCCTCCTCTAGTCCCTGCTAGGGCTCCTGGAAGTTCTGTGACATGCCATGTCTGATGCCCCAAGATACTCCTGGGCCAGGAAACAGGATTTTTAGTATATGCTCTTTTTCAATAAAAATGTCAGTTTTTAATTGTTCCGGAACTGTGAATACACCTACAGTTGTAGTCGTTAAAAATTATAAAAGCTAAACCACATAATTACTAACTTAACTGGAATCAGAATTTCCAATCGTTACAGAGGAAGGAAAGTTGAAAAATTAGATTTTAAAAGGTTGCCAACCAAGGTATGTAATTTACAAAATGAATACTTGTCTAAGAAAAGAAAGTGCTATTTTTAGCCGTTGAGGAGCAATCTGTAGGGAAGAAGACACTGGAGAACGACTTGGTTTAGTTACAAAGCTCCTCAGACCGGAAGGGCCCTCGGGGCCCCGCGTGCAGCAGACGCGGCCGCAGTGCGACCTGGACCCGAAGACGGGCCTGCACGCCCGGGAAGATGCTCGTTTCTCGGTCAGTCCGGGGCTTCGCCTCAACCCCTCAGCCGAATCCTGGAAGTGACTGATGATCAGGGGTGGCCGTCAGCACCACGGGTCGTGGATCGTGGGTCATGCTGTCTGTGAACCCACGTGCTCACTTCCCGTCGTCTGGAACTTCTTTCGTATCAGCTTTAATTCCTCTTTTCAAGATATGTTAATGGTGCTTTTTAATAACGAAAACGCCAATAATTTCCTGGTGGCTAGACAAGGTCAGAGCCACCCACCCCAGCACCAGGACACATGCACCGTGGGGAGGCAGCAGAGGCGTGGCTGATAAAGAAAGCGTTCTCTGGGAACTCACAACAAAAGTTCCTCTGAACAGTGAGTCCCGGGGCAGGTCTTTCCCTCACCTGGGCCTCAGGTCCCCCATCTCTGGACTGAAGAAGCAGGGACTTGCCACGGTCACCCAGGGTCGCCTGCACGGACCCCCACGGCAGCACCGTGCCTCTAACCCGCCCGGCTGCCTCAAAGGCAGCGGGGTTCCGAAAGCAGGTGCCCGTGCACCGAGCGGCAGCCAACATCTCCGTCCGTGAGAAAACCAGGCCAGCGGCACGCAGAGGGGCCAGCGGCAGGGCCGCCCCGGGCGGCCAGAAACAGGTCAGAGCCTGGACCCGGACATCTGTGCCACCGTCCCGAGTGGGAGGTGATTTACGCCTGTGTTGCTAACACTGCCGACTCCTCCCGCAAAGGTGTGAAAACAGTGCTGACACACACACCCTGGCACACGCTTCCCTGAGCCGCACGCGCCCGGCGCGCTGACTCAGGCAGACCCACCCCCACCCCCCGTCCACAACCACTTACTCACCTTTGAGAAACTCTCATCATGAACAACTCGGCCATTAAGGGCAATAAACAGCCCGAGAAGCACAACCCGCAGGGCTCCCTCAGATCAAGACGCCGTGACGACACAGCACGCCGCCACGACTCCGCGGCGCAAGGGGGCGGTGCGTGCGTCAAGCTGGGGCGCACGCAAACGCCAGACACAAAACGTGGCAGCGTAACTTAGCAAAAGCCTGTGACACCGTGGGGAAATGACGATGGCACGATGCTAAATGACAGACCACACACGTGCATGCCTCGAGGAAATCGACCACAACCTTCACGGTCTCCCGTGGGATGACATCTCCCTTTTCGCTTTTCTCAACTCACGCGTCTTCTAAAAAGGGTGTGCTCTTATCGCTGAAGTTACGCTTTCATTTACTAAGACACCCCCACAGACTCTCTACAGGACCCGGAGGGAGCCCCGAACGGCCCCGCAGAGGAGCCCCAGCCGGGCTGAGCAGACGGCGGGGAGCACAGCGCCTCCGTCCGCTGATTTACTTGCTGGTCTGGGTGGGCGCCTCACGCGGGCAGCGGGGTCGGGAAAGAGCACCCCAAACAGGCCCGGTCCACCCTCGTGGGGCCCCCGCCAGGACCGCCACAGGCCGTGCCGTTTCTGGGGCGTGCGCGGGGCTCAAAGACCAGGTCAGAAGACCAGGTCGGGGGGACAGCACGGGGAGCCACCCGGCAGAAACCCCACCCGGCCCCTCGCCAGCACACGGGAGCTACTGCCCGCAGCTGCACCTGCCCTGGCGACAGTCACCAGATGCCCTGCTGACGTGGACCGGCCTCACGCACGAGGGCCTGTGTCCACGTGGGTTCCAGGCGAGCCAGCGCCCCTCCGTCACCTGTCGCCTCCCCTCCTCTCCGGAGCCCGGCGCTCCGCTTCACCCCTGCGCAGCCGTGCCGGGCACCCGCGGCCCCGACCCCTTACCTGATCAGCTCGTACGTCTCTCCCAGGAGCGGGTTGAAGGGCTTGCCGGTCCTCTCCCACTGGGAAGCCACCGCCGACACCGCAAAGGCAGCAACGCACTGGGAACAGCGCACAGGACGGTGAGTGGGGGGCCACGGGGTGGGGGGGGACGTGCAGCCTCTCCGCGCCAGATGTGCTCCTGGTGGCACGAGTCTCCCTTGTCACGTGTTTTGAGATATTACAGAACTTCCGGGGAAACGCCCTTCAGCACGAGCACTTCCTCAAACCACACGGGCAGGAACCGTGTGCCCCCCTTCCCCAGCCCGGGCAGCCCCGAGGCCCCGCGCCAGGTCGGCCGGGGTGGCCGCACCCACACGCGGTGGGGGGGAACCGGGGGGGTGGGGGGGCAGGGGGGCCGGTCCCGAGCGGACCTAGGAGGAGCCGAGGCACAGGGCAGGACGGCACCCAGGAGTCAGCGGGAGCCACGCGGGCCGATCACCACGGGGCCACTCACGGGGCGTCATGCTCACTGAACACCACGGTCTCGTGTCTGGCGCCCCCAGAAGGGGCCCACCGCCCACCTGCATCCTTTCCAGGGCCTGGGGCTGGCAGGAGGCTCTGTGAATGAGGTCCACGTGCTCCATGTACTCCGTGATCCGCTGGAGGAAACTCAGAGGCTCGTTGAAGGCGATGGGCATGGTGATCTTGGACAGCTCCTGGAAGGAGCCAGTGAAGACTCGTCACCACGGGACTGTCCCCAGGAACCCGAGCCCACGCCCGCCCCGCTCTGAGCGCAGGGAAGATGCTCGTCTAGCTCGTCAGGAGAAAGGAAGTCAACCCCGTGGAGACCCGGCCCGCTCGCCTGTTCGAGCAGCAGCACTGCACACGGGCCACGGGCAGGGCAGGGCAGGACAGAGAGAGGCCCCCACAGCCGGTGGGGGCGCAGAAGGGGGCCGCCTGGAGACGGGGCACCACGGCAGAAGCGCGTGTGCACCTGCCCTTTGGTCCCGCGGCCCCGTTTCCGGGAGCCCGCCCCACAGATGCTCTGGCAAACACACAGCAGACATCTGACAGGGATAGGCGGCCAGAAGGCACGGCACTGCGAGGTGACCGTAAGCCTAAGCAGTGGCTCCACGTGGCTGTGGCACCACGCAGCGAAACAGAGGCGGAAAAGCCTCTGGTTCGTCTGAAGAAAGAGGGAAGAGATGACACACGGTCCCCTCACGAGGCACGGGAAGACAGACCACGGAGGGTGGAAATGGTCTCCTCGAGGGGAAGGGCCAGTGCAGCGCGAGGGCAGGGACAGGAAGGGAGATTCTTGGAACCTCAGCCCAGAGATCTGACTTTAGGTTTACGATTTTGAACAAAAGTAATTTAGAAAACCAATGTCTAAACATCGAGAACAAAAGAAGCAAATGAGTGCACGCAAGCTCTGGGGGCCCAGCCACGTGGACGGGGACCACGGCAGGTAACTCCAAGCACGGTGACCGGAGACACGCCCTCCGGACAAAACGACCCACAAAAGGCAACCAACTCCCACGTGTCAGCACACACGCTGGTGGCGGCAGAAGTGGTCCTGTCCTCCGGAACCGTCGTGTGTGTGGGATAGAGCAGGTGAGTCATTAATTGAGTGCTGGTCTAAATCGGTCACCTGCACTGTCGTTAGAAACTGGGATCGTCGGCGTGGGGGGGGAAGAGGCACAGACATTCGACCGAGGGGGCTGGAGTAATCCCGTCATCCCAGATTTCAACCGTCGTTGAAACAAATCCAAACAGCTCCTAGCTCTCCCCCCAGAAAGACCTAGAACAGCAATTCATAGCCCACCCCCTACCCCTAGGGCCCAGCTGTGGTCCTGAGTCCTCTCTCTCCCTGCACAAGCGGCCGACTCCAGATCCTGGACGAGAAAGGGACAGAATGAGCCAGAGCTTCGTCTATAAGGGATCACGGCCAAGCCGAAGAGGCTATTAACAGCCAAAGAGGGAGTGGCTCGGGGGCTGGAATGCACCGGGGAGGTCTGACTCCGTGAGTTTGAAAAAAAAGAAACACAGACAAGCTAGTTGGTTACACTGGCCATGCTGGGTCATGCTAGTGAATCACATCACGTGGTGACCGTGATAAAGTGAGAATCACTCACTGACCCTGACTTTCTTCTGCAAACCGCACTGGCGGCCGTAGAAGGGCACGTTCTCGGCACAGAAACGTCCCAGGAAATAAAGGAAGAGTGACAGCACCGGCCCGAGCGCCACGAGCTCTTAGTCGGGAGGGAGGTAACACCACAGACGGCAGAAGCACAGACAGAATGGTGCTCGGACAGCCGGGGACTGGACCCGGTGGGTAGCGGATGGTGCTAACGCGTGGCCTTCTGAAGTGTGAGGGTGGCCGTGCTGGTGGTAAAGAGAATCTGTATCCTTCAGCAACACGAAAAGTATTCACGAGTGGGGTCTGCTTCAAAATACGAGGAGAGGGGCGCCTGGGTGGCGCAGTCGGTTAAGCGTCCGACTTCAGCTCAGGGTCACGATCTCTGCAGTCTCGAGTTCGAAAGCTCCTCTGCCGGGCTCTGAGGCTGTGATGGCTCAGAGCCTGGAGCCTGTTTCCGTTCTGTGTCCCTCTCTCTGCCCTGCCCCATTCATGCTCTGTCTCTTGTCCCATAATAAAAAACGCTGAAAAAAAAAAAAAAAAAAAAAACAAAACAAAATACGAGGAGAGGCGGGCAGTGGCGAGGCGCGGCGGTGTTCCCTGGCCCTGCCTGCCTCAGCGGCTACAGCTCCGGGCCGCCTCCAGTGGCGAGTGAGGAAGAGGGCGTATGTAGCCACCAGAAGGCATCGGGGTCGAAGCGTGTGCTCAGCCTAGGGGACTCGGCGCCACCACCCAATCGTAATCCGACCCTCGGCGGGTCATGGGAAGGCAATGTGATGGTGTCGCTTTATGACAAGAAGCTGCAGGACCAAGGAGCTAGTCAGTGTTTATTATTTGAGAGAGAGAGACAGACAGACAGACAGAACCCGAGCCGGGAAGGGGCAGAGACAGAGGGAGACACAGAATCAGATGTACTGCGGGCTCGAAGTCTGTCAGCACAGAAGCTGAAATATCGCGAAACTCAAGCCTCCACCGGACGTCAGATCATGACCTGAGCCAAAGTTGGACGCTTCACCGACAGAGCCCCCCAGGCGCCCGACCAAGGAGCTAGTCAAGTTCGACACCTATCTTCAGACAGATACACCCGCCTAGACCTGACCTGCTCACACAGCCAGAAATGTAGGAGAAAACACTGCTAAGAGAAAAGAATCCCAAGCGTGCCATTTTAGAAGACAAGAGACGTGTGGGGCGCCTAGCTGGAGTGACTCTTAGTCTCGGGTTGTGAGTTGGAGCCCCATTGCTGGGTGCAGAGGTTACTTGAAAATAAAAATCTTAAAAAATTAAAACATAAAAAAAGCCAAACAGGTGTGTACACGAACCCGTGTGTGCAGAAGCAGGGTCAGAAGGCACGCCTGGGCTTTCCAGCTCTGTCTGCCGAGAGGCCTGGGGCAGGGTCACCCCAGGAGCGCCAAGCACATCCCGCGCCAGCCCTTGGTGCCTAAACACCAGCCGCCAGTACGAAGACAGCAGGGGGTACTAGGAAAGCCAAGTCAAGTGCATGGTGAGCAGTGACGCTCCGACAGGAACGCTGGCGTCTCGCTCACCGAGCCCCGGCTGCTACATGAGACGTCACCACAACGGGAAGCCGGGTGGAGGGCAAACAGCTCAAAGTACCACCCGCAGCCGTCTAGAAGTCCAAAGTTACTTCAAAATAAAAAGTGGGAGAAAAGAAGCAGTTTCCTCTGGGAAAGGGGCTGAAAGAGACGAGGGCAGAAATAAACGGCGGTGGCAGCACGCGTGGGAGGCACGGGGGACAGGGCCGCGTGCCTGTCAACACAACGCTGTTGGTACAACCCACGGCCTGCGGTGCGCCCTGCCCTCCCGAGGGGGGCACAGCTCACATTCCCAGACGGTGACAGTCCCGTCACGCAGGACCACGAGAAAAGAAGCCTGCGGCCCCGGGACACAGATTAGCCAACCACCTCCTCTGAGCAAACCCTGATGCAAACCCTGAGCATCTGAGCTGTGCCCCCGGTCCCGCACTCCTGCCTGTGGCTCGCCCTCAGCCTGTGTCGAGCAGCCCGCGGAAGCTCCCCATGTCGTGCGGACCGTCCAAAGCCAACTGTGAGCCCGTCACAGAACGCCAGGGTCAACGTAAACCCCTGTGATGCGTCTCACATCAGGAGGCTTGCCTGTGGGATCACGTTCCCGCTGGCTGTGAACACCTTAGCCTTCGCGCCTTTTCTCTCCCCCACCCCACGTCTGTCCCTGTCCTCTCTGATCGTCCTCGTGCTACAAATGTGCAGAGCACGTCTCCCTAAACTATCAGCAGTGCAACAGATACCCAGGAATTGAAAATGTTTCAGCTTCAGGCCCTGAAATGAGTCCCTCTGAACTTACCAGGCCGATGCATTTCTTTAATATACTCCACACGCTGAAGTCACTTCTGGTAAACATCGGGGCAGGCAATGACGTCCTATGAAGGAACGACCAGAGTGACACGGGTTGGTCCCTCCAGCACCAGGTTCACTTACAACTGATGATTTTGCCCAGTGACCATTTTTTTTTTTAGTTTTTAGATGCAAACACCGGCCACGTGTCTGCTCTGGCAGCCTGAGTGCTGTTAAGTCCTAAAGAAAGGTTTCTGCACAGGCATCCTGGAGGGTCTCCCGGGAAAGGACGGTGACCACGGCAGAGGCCGGGCCAGGAAGGCACAAGACAGAGCCGCGTTAACAAAACCTTTCGGAAGTCTGCCGGGAGCCTGCCGGGAGTCCCTTTCAAACACAAGTTTGTTCTCCTGAGGCTCATTCCTTTCCAGGCTCTCTTCCTGCCAGCTTCCCGGGGAGGCCTGGCAGTCTCCCTCCCAGGAATTGGGCTGGGATGAGACACTATTCCACCTGGGAGAGAGGGGTGCCTGAGCGGGCCGTGAAGCTAGCGTTGGGGGGAGGTGTGCTGGACCCATGGGCAAGGGTCAGGAGGGAAGAGCAGGAGGAGGGGGCCGGGGGCCAAGGTAGCAGGGCAGATGGGGCTCCACTGTGGGAATGGGCTGGATGCACCTGAGGACTCCAAAGAGGCCCCTGTAGGCTGGGACCAGTGACAACGGGCCCGGGGCCGGAGCCAGAGCAACACAGAGGGCCGGCCCTCATCCCAAGAGGAGAGTGACCCTGCGGTCCCCTCTCCCAGCCAAGGCGCTCTGTTCACCATCACTGGGGACCACGCAGACACTGGCCGAGAGGCAGAGGCAGTGCATTCAGACCTGTCTAGTGCCCGCAGGGTGGAGAGGAGATGGGAGGGTGTGGAGGCAGTTACGGGCGCTACAGGGGCGCAGGAGAGGCGGCCGGACTGGGATGTGACACAGGAGCCGGGAAGGCTGAGGAGCCCAGACGTGCGTAACGGGACCACATGTCAGAGCTGGGCGACGATGTGCGGGGGCAGGAGGTCGGTGTTAGGCCGACGCGCGAACCAGATTCATGGGGCACTGAGCGGAGGACAGCAGAGCATGACCCACTCTAGGACAGGCCATCGGAGCACACGTGCAGAGGTGCTCCGACGCCTGCCGGGAGAACGAGCCGACAGGCAGGGGCGGGACGCCCGAGTCCCCCGCTGCGTGCATCTAGCAGGCGCTGGGGTCTAGGGCCCAGAGCAGGGGCTGCGGTAAGGCTGCAGGGCTCCCTCAAGCTGCAAAGCAAGTCAGTGTGGTGGGGGACAGAGGCCGCCTGCCCACCGCCACCGCCTCGCGGGGCCTGTCTTGCCCTTGTCCTCACTTCTGCTGGGGAAGACTTAGGTCACTGTCTCCAGAATCTAACTCGGAAGGAAAAGGAAATGTGGGGAAAAGGAAAGAGGGATTTGCTGCTCTAAACACCCATTTCCAAACCGTAGGGCAGACAGGCAGTGTGACATTGAGAGGCAGGTGGTCTGCAGGGGGCAACAGGAGGGCGGCCCTCCCCCCGGTCCACCCCGCAAGTCCTGGGGCGGGGACCGGAATCAGCAGTCAAGGAAGTGCCATCACTGACCTCCAGGAGCCAAGGAGAGTGGCGTCGGGTCTCAGAATCTGTGGCTGAACAGGGCACCAGGGGATGCTGTCCGGGGGCACCACGGCTGGGTCACCCCTGGCCTCGGGACTCAGGAGAGCTGAAGGAGCACCCTGTGGCACGGCCAGGGCGTCACAGATACAGCGGAAGATTCTAAAACGCGCGCACGATGACGTACCTGTGCTTCTGAATTCCATTTTCTCGAGGGGGCCTCTCCCCGGCCTTTCCGACCCCGTTACTTCTGCCGGAGTCCACACACATCACCGCAGCGACTCTCTGACTTGCCTCTGAAAATCCCCCGGAAGAGCTCTCAGAATCGAAGCCTGCACACAAGCAGAGTGGTAGTTTTTGCAGGGCCGGGGGGACACGGAAGCCCAGCTCCAGGAGCTCTGAGCGCGGAATACCGGAAGCTCTACTTCATTCCTAACGGGCGCATTTTGCCACAATTCGCTCTGGTCCCCAAGAACCCGAGGCAGAGGCGGAGGTAGGAATGCTTCTGGGGGCTTCCCCAGGAGCTCAGACAGCACGGGTGCCCTGTGCACCCGGTGCAGCCTGGCCGCCACCTGAGGTCTGGCTGGGAGGCCGGGGAGCACGGTGTGCCCGGGTCTCAGGCCGGGCTCACGCCCTTCGGGGCAGGCCGCCTCTCCGGCACTCAGACCCGCCTCTAGGCTGCAGAATGTCCTGTCTCTGCATAAGGTCTGCAGTCAGCCCCGCCTCTTCTAAATGCAAGCCGTGGGGGCGCCTGGGGGGCTCAGTTGGTTAAATGTCCCACTCTTGATTTCAGATCACGTCACGATCTCATGGTTCCGTTCATGAGATCGAGCCTCACACGGGACTCCATCCTGGCAGCGCAGAGCCCGCTTGGGATTCTCTCTCCCTCTTCCTCTGCCCTTCTCCAGCTTGCGAGCCACCGCCCCCCGCCAAAATAAACTTTAAAAATAAAATAAAATACAAGCCACAGCACTGATGGTACAAGAACCTGCGCCACGCAAACACACCGCCACACTCTCACACCCATGAGCAAGAACCCAAGCACGGAACCAGCTGGAGCTCAGAGCACACCCCACGTCCACGTCCACAAAGAGCCACAAAGAGCTCAGTGAGCCGCAGCCACCAGGGAGGGGCTCCTGGACCACGGCGCTTGGCCATGACAGTGACTGTTTCCGGGAGGACGCAGGCTCACAGGGAGCTCGGTGCTCCCGCTGGCCCCTCACTTCACAGACCAGGGGGAGGCCCAGGGCATAAGGCCAGGCGGGTTGAGCACGCCGTCAGGCCCGAAATATAAAGAAACCTGCCGCGACACTTTCCTGAGGATACACAAAAAAGTCCTGTCTTGTACTTTTCCATATTGACAGGTTCCCAAGATGGAGTGTCCACACTCATCACATGGTGGCTTTGAGAGGATACATTAAAAAACAAGCCTCTTTAACGATCAACATTTTCTGAAACAGCCTGTCACCTCTGATCTCACTGAGACAAAAGCAACATCTACTTAATCCCCAGTCCAAACTTGGCTTCTTAAGGAGACCCCCGTGCTGCAGGGCCTGCCCGCCCTCCTCTGTGTGTCCCTGTCCCCACGGACCCCCCCCCC